CAACCAACAACAGGGCATTACAGTCGGCACATCGAGAAGCAGATCCGCGCATCAGGCATCGACATAGTGGAGCCGATGCCGTTGGACGTGCCGTGCCAGTTCCGCAAATCGCGGAGCCGAACCACCGTGCAAGTCCCAGTGCGCCCATACCACGACATGCTGGCATGTGAAATTAACAAACCGTTGACCAACTTCACAGTGCGGCAACACATTCAGGAGACAGATTGGCCGCCCGTGTTCCGCGACCACGACGTCGTTCGTGGTGCTGGGCCTGGTGAACTCGTGGTCCCATTAGCTATATATGTCGACAGTGCCCAGTATGGAGGTAGTGCTGGCGCTGGGCGGACCAGAAGTGTAGTGAACGTGTCAATTGTCAACTTGTGCACGCAGCGGCGGCACGTGGGCATCGTGTTTCGCAAACAGGTACATTGCCGATGTGGGTGCAAGGGCCACTGCTCATACTCTAGGTTCTACACATTCTTGGCCTGGAGTCTGAAAGCGCTTGCAGATGGCACATACCCGTCGCTCGACTGGGACGGCAGGGAGTTTGCCACCACAGAGCAGGAGCGGATCAACCTCAGTGGTAAGAACATCGGTTTTAAGGGCGCCGTCTGCTTTATCATGGCGGATTGGGAGGCAGTATGTCAGTATTTCTTGGTGCCGTCCTGGTCTTCCAACCAATTCGGTTGCCCTCTCTGCGACGCCAGTCGCCAGAACATGCATCGATACAGGACAGCGCCTTCGATTTATTTGGGTTACACAGTGATGGTGAGTGGATGGAGGGTGCAATGTGGCGATGACGGAGGGAGGGATAATGAGCGAGTGGTAGGGCGCAGGGTGGAGGCCGAGTCCGGCAGGGGGGAGGACGGCGAGGGCGTCGGGCAGCGCGCGCAATGCATGTCGCGCGCACGAGGGGGGAGGGTGGGGCAATGCATCAATCTGACGCATGGCTGGCGGTAGCAGATCAGATCGCAGGCTCGCGCCGAGTTCGGCCGACTCGCCACTTGCGCATCTGATTGTCGCCGCCGCCCACGCGTCGGAGTGGCGAATTGCCCCCCCCCTGATGCATGAATGAGAAGTAAACGCTTCGAGCCTCCTCGAAGATGACGAGCTTGCGCCCTGGGTGGACCACGAAGTTGGCGACCACCTGGACGCGACACATAGAGCAGAAGTGTGGATTCGGATAGAGTCTGAGTTTGATCGGGCTCGATTGTGGGGCACAGCAGGTATGTATTTCGATAGCCGCATTAAGGGTGGCAAGGGCTTAACTGTTGGATTGGATGTGCCTGCGATGAACGATCGCAGCGCGGCCCTCGCCCCTGGGGACCGCCTTCTACCCCAGAAGGGCCTGGAAGATGTCTGCTTGTATGCTGTAGTTCCAACCCCGTGCTGGTTATGTTTCTGGCGGCCCTCGCGAGCGACGCTCACGACGGCCCCGCGCCCACTATATATGAACAACCTTGGCCTGAGCTTGGCAGGCAATCTGGGCGTGGACTACCTCCACACGGTTGCGCTTGGAGTAATGGGGTCGGTCGTTTGTGCCATTATTTGGAGGTTGCTTCTTTCTGACGTGTTCGTCTGCCGTGGCCCGAACCAAGATACGCGGTTTAGCATCGGGATTAGCCGTTTGACGGTCGAATTAAACCAGTGGTACATTGCTGAGAAATCGAGGGGGCACGCCCCGAACGAGATCGAAACGTTGTCGACTGGGATGTTCGGGAAGCCAGACAAACATGCGATTAAGGCCAAGGCAGCCGAAACACAAGATCTTTTTCGATGGTGCACGTCGACGCTGCTGCCGAAGTATTATAACCGCATTGTGCGTGGCCCAGCGTTGAGGACGTGTTCGCAGGCATTGCTTGAGTGGTACATCGAGCTGTCTGCGCAGCCAGATCTACCATCTGAAGAGGGGTGTATGAGACTGAAAAACTTAGCTCTTCGACACCTACTTCACCTACGCAGGGCAGGTATCCCCAGGAAGCCCAAACATCATTTGTTTTGGCATATGAACAGCAGGACCCGTATCCAAACACTCTCGATCCTACCTCCAGCACCCTCGGGGGCTTTGCACGCGCGTGAGCGTGTCCGGTAGAGCAATGTCAACCGATCCACGATGCACCGTACACATGCGTATGATCGATTGTCACGGTGCGCAATTAGCCACACCGGTCATCGGTGCGTCACCGATGTATCATCGATGCGTCATCGATGACTCATCGATGACGCATCGATGACGCATCGATGGCGCATCGATGGCGCATCCACGGTGCATCGGTGGACCGGTCGGTTGTCCTCCGCCCTCGGTGGACACGCCTGGAGACGTGAAACGTTATTCCCCAAGAGAATTCAACGCCCGCATGCTCTACGACGGTGGGGTCGGCAGACATGCGCAACGCAGCGAGCGGCGGTGGTGCCTCCATAATAAAGCTCGCTGCGTTGTCGGTGTCGATGGCCGTCGCGACGTGGATGCGCCTTTGCCCGCGGGCGCTCGGGGGCCGTCGCTCTCGGGCGCGAGGGGGCGGGGGGCAATGTGGTAGCGGCGCCCCCGAAGCTCTGGTCGAGGCGCAGCTGGGCCCCTGGGGGGAGAGGACGGGGCGATCAAGCATCGACGGGCCGCCCTCCAGGCCCGCGACGCCGCGGGGCTGCCGCCCCTTGCACCTCCACCCCCCCTCCTCTGCGTCGTCTGCTCCCCGCCCTTCCCCCCGCCCCGTGCACCCCCGCTGGGCGGAGCGACGTGGGAATACGAGGAATCGCAGGAATGCAGGGGGGGCATGAGGAATGCGGGGAGAAAGGGGGAGGGGTAATTGGGGGGGAAGTCGAGAAATACGAGGAGGAGAAATACGAGGAGGAGGAGGTTTGTGGTTTAGAATTCCCCGAGGATGTGGATGCTGGGGCACCCTCGCCTCTACGCCACTTGGCGCGACGAAACCCTCAATGCTCTCCTAGCCACTGTGGCCGAAGTCAGTCACCCGTCGCAATTCGAGCGCGGGATCTTCCAGCGGCTCGACCTCCAGGCTGCCTTGGGCGTGGGTGTCGCCAGGACAGTTGCGATTTGATGGCATTGCTGCGAACGCTGGTGTTGGCTCTCGCCGTGACGGCGACTGCATCTCCTGTTCCAGAATGGGTATCCGAGCTTGCGTTGACGAATCCCGACCCGACGTACTGGGGCCAGGTGACGTTCGTGACGGATACGGTGCACAGACTTATCAAATCAGGCGCCTGACATCAAGTGCGTGTCGCGTGGTATTTGTGATTGTGTAAATGTATCGGCTGGGGTGCGCCACTGTGACGTCGTCGCCACGGCTGGGCTCGCCTCGACATCCGCCCTGCTAGTCCGGTCACAAGCGCCGCGCGCACTGCATTTGTATTGTTCAGGGCCAAAAGAGGCCGCATCGTCAGGGACCTGGATTTCGCGCACATTTTCAGTGGCATGGACAGCCCAGGAGTTGCAATGCGTCGCATGGGGCGCCGTGTAGAGTCCTTTGACATTTGCAACCACTGGTCGCAGGACATAGTATCGTGTGCTGGTATGCTGTGGTGCGCAATCATATGTTTTCGGGTCGTTCCTCGGGGGCTGGTTCACTTTGGCCCAGATTGCAGGACCTTTGCGTGGGTGTCTCGCGGGCACACTGGCAGGGCTCATGACATCATTGGCAACGAACAGGACTTCAGAGTTGCAGTGGGTAACATCATGGCGTTGTTCGTCAGTTGGATATGCACGAGATTGCACTGCACAACTGTGTTCTTTTCCATCGAGCAGCCCGTGTGCTCCTGCCTCAAGCACCACCCTGCGTTCTTGAGTTTGATGCATCGGGTGCCCATGTACAGGCTGTGCACTCATCTGGGCGCCTTCGGCGCCAACCTTGGAATTCCAAAAGCCGTTCACATTTTTACTTTGTGTTTCGCAATGCCGCCGTGTCAACCCGACGCCCCCAGTGGCATGACGATCCCCCTGATTCGTCGAATGCCGCTACGCGCGGTATTTGTCCCAAGTAAGTTCTGCAAGCTTGTTGCCCGATATCGCGGGCGGTGGACACGTCAGTCGACAAAGATGTCGCGCTGCGTTTCTTGCGGCGCGGCAGGCCCCGCCAGATGAAGCCTGGGCGCGGGGGCGCCTGGAAGACCCAGGCACGCCCGAATGCCCCGGGCAAGAAGCCGCGGGTTGTGGGTGGGCCCAGCTTGAAGGCAACGAGCGCCTACCCGAAGGAGTTTGGGAAATGCATGGCCAAGATGGCTACTGTTCTTTCAGTCGGGCGCTCGCGCTGACGCGCGCTCGACGCCCGTTGCTTGCTGCGCTCGAGAGCCGCGAGGCGTGCGCGCGCAGCCAGTGCACTTTTGGCGCTGTCGTTTCAATGTCGTTCGTTCGTGCCGCTCTGATCAGGCAGATATCGTGTGCAAACACGTTCGAGACTCGATGCTGTGTGGCGCGGGGAATATGGATGTGCGCCCTCGCTCACGCCCCTACCGTATCCCCCCTTCTCCTCGCCCGCCCCCCTCCCCTACTCGGTTCGCGCAGTCCGCTCGAGCTTTCGCCATCCGCCCCAAACGACCTCCCATAGTCCGGTCGGCCCGCATGACGCATCGTCGATGCGTCGACTGCTATCCACGCGTCGCCGATGCACGTTGATGCTTCGCGCCCCCGACGACGCAGGCCCGATGCATCGTCGATGTATCGCTTGCCTCCGACGCGTTGCCGATGCTGGTCGATGCGCCTCTGTCGGGCGGAGCGGCTGGCAGAGGGCGGGCTGGACTCATGGCAAACGAGGCGCGGGCGACGACGGCGGCGGACGAGTCCGGCGAGCGGGGCCCCATCCAGGGCCAAACGCGTCGTGGCCACCCCAGCCGCGGCGACTGCGCAGTCCAAAGACGTCCGAAACGATCGAGAGTTGCTAAACCATAATATCCCCGACGCCCCCTCGATCCTCGACCCCCAGCCACCGTAGGCAGTTTGGCTCGAGTCCGGTTCCCAGTAAGCTGGCTCATCGAGCCCCGCGCCCGAGACCCTCGCCGCCCCGCCGCCGAACGCATTGGCAGCAATGGCAACCGCCACCGTGCTGATCGACCTGAAGATCGAGGATCGCGCCGAGAGCGACACCGCGGCTAACGTGGCGATCGGCCAGCATTACATGATCGCTGGTCGGGTGTTCTGCTACATGGCGGATATGGACTGTTGGCTCCCAGTGGTGACCCCGATTGCGTTCAACCCTGTTACCATGTCATGGACTGTCGAGGTGGCCACCCTCAAACGGTCCATCGTGACGGAGTTTTCGAGTTACCACGGCTCGAACATCGAGGTGTACAAGGCGTACGGGCAGGAGCGCTTGGGTGAGCCGCTGTCCGACGCAACGCATGTCTCTCTCGACTTGTGGCTGTTCGTGAACAAGGTTCCGCCGACCGTTGAGCCCGAGCCGAACATGAACTTCATGGCCTACCCCCCAGCGGCGATCAGTAAGATCCATGCGCACGTCTTCTTGCACGAGAGGAAGGAGTGGAGGTGCGTCGAGCTGCCCAATCGCGAGGGCCCGACGCGGGGCCGCAACTACTCGACGGTCAAGATGCTCAAGCTCGCGGCGCTCAAGTCCTTCGACTACACGTTCGATTCGACGGACGCCCGCTTTGGCGACATCTGCATCTACTCGAACGACTCGGGAAACGCAGTGGGCTCTGCCTTGCAGAACAACATGCGCATCAAGGACCACGCGTGGTACAGCATGACGTTGACCGCCGAGACGAACCACGACGCCCTCGACCGTGCCCCGACCTCGCCAGACGGAGACGACTGGACTTCGTGGGAGCAGCTTGAGTCTGTCAATGGAGATTTGCAGTGACCGTCGTGCACTGCGACGTGGCAAGGATCAGGCGTGCGCGAACTGACGACTCTTTTCATGCAGGGCCGAGTTTCCAACGACGCCCTTTTTGCCCATCGCCCAGCGTGATCTGCTGGGCGGTTGCACGCAATCTTCGCTCGCCCATGCGTGGTCTGCTTGGGTGCGAGCGCACAACGCCTCCGCAGTTCGCCGACACGTACGCCGCCAAATAACTGCAACCATGCTAGAGAGTACGCACTTAGGGTGGGCGGGCGGGAGAGCATTGGAGCAAGGAGGGGGAGGGGGAGGAGGGGGAGGAAGAGGAGGAGGAGGAAGAGGAGGAGGAGGAGGAGGAGGAGGAGGAGGATGAGGGGGGGGAGGATGGGGGGGAGGAGGAGGAGAAGGAGGAGGGGGAAGAGGAGGAGTGGCCCGAGGATCAGGCAGAGGAGGAGAGGGATAGGGGGAGGCGGAGTATGAGGAAGATGATTGGAGGACGAGGATCAGAATGCGTGGGAATATATGAATATGATTGTTGCGATGATGTCACTGACGTGGCAGAGTTGTGGCTCAAGCAAGCGAACACGACTTGCTCCAAGGCCAGTGGGTCGACGGGGCAGCGCCGCTGTCGCGGCGCCAACGCGCCATGGCGCGCATGTTCACGCAGCCAGTGCGCCCGGGCCAGTTGGCGACGGGCGACCAGTACCAGCGCCCAACGCCATCGGAGATATGGATGCAGATCCTCGCTTGCCCAGCGGCATATCACCCCGAGTCGGTCATGCGGGCGCAGTACGAGGTCCGTCGTGCGCTTTCTGAGCAGGAGAATGGCCGCAACCCCTACGACGACAGCGACCCCGACGTCGACCGCGAGTCCGAACCCGTTCCAGACGTCGTCGTCAAGGACGAGTTCGAGCTCGACGAGATCGAGTACGACCAGCAGGCCGCGAAGGACTCGCCGTATCAATCTTCAGACGACGGTGATCCCGCAGAGGTGGCCTTGACCACTCGCGACCCGCTGACGGAGTACTTCCTGGGACTGGAGCCCCGCGACGAAGTGCAGACGGACAAGGTGTTCGACAGCGTTCTCGCCGAGATCGACGAGGGCAAGCCGAATGACGAGCTGAAGACGGACGTCGACGCGGACACGCCGAAGGACGAGCTGGAGGCGAACATCGAGCACGAGCAGTACACTAACAAGGAGAACGCCGCGTTCGAGGAGTCGATCTTGACCTGCTTGGGGGCGCCCGCCCCAAAGACGCCCGACGACGCGATCGGCCTCATCGGCGACGGCATCGACCAGACGATCAGCGAGGGGGTCGACGACGCCATCGGCCTCATCAGCTACGGCATCGGCAAGAAGATCAGCGAGGGGGTCGACTCGAAGGACATGCGGGCATGTGGAATTGCGGTCGACGGTGGTTGTGACGGGGATGACGGTGCGGAGTGGGAGGTCTTGGCATGGGTCATCGATACGTCATCGATGCGTCGTCGATGGCGCATCGATGACGCATCGATGACCCATCGGCGGCATGGCGACGGCCGAGAGGGAAGAAGTGAGGGAGAGAAAGGGGGAGATAGAAAGAGAGAGAGGAGAGAGAGAGAGAGAGAGAGAGAGAGAGAGAGAGAGAGAGAGAGAGAGAGAGAGAGAGAGAGAGAGAGAGAGAAGAGAAAAAAAAAAAAAGGAGAGGGGAGAGAGGGAGCGAGAGGGAGGGAGAGGGAGGGCGAGGGAGGGAGGAGGGGGGGAGGACGACGACCGACGACGACGGGCGACAGACCGGACGACGGACGGCGACGACGACGACGACGACTACGGCGGCGGCGGACGACGACGACGACAACGACGATGGCGACGGTGGCGTCGGCGGACGACGGCGACAACGACGATGGCGATGGCGACGATGATCGACGACGACGGCGATGGCGACGACGGACAGACGACGACCCCTCTCGGCCCCGAGGAGGGCAAGAAGCGCAAGATCCTCGCGTAAGAGGGCCCTCTCGGGCGCGGCGAGCGCGGACACCCGCGGGGGACGTGGCGTGGCCGAGGGGGGCGGATGGTCGTCGTCTGTCCGTCGCGTCGTCGCCGTCGTCGTCGTCGCCGCCGTCGTCGTCGTCGATGCCGTCGTCGTCCGCCGACGCCGCCGTCGTCGTCGATCGTAGTTGTCGTCATCGTCGTCCGCCGCCGCCGCCGCCGTCGTCGTCGTCGTCGTCGTCGCCGTCCGTCGTCCGGTCTCTCGTCGCCCGTCGTATGTCGTCGACCTCCCTCCCTCCCTCCCTCCCTCTCCCTCCCTCTCCCTCCCCCTCCCTCCCCTTCTCCCTTCTCCCTTCTCCCTTTCTCTCTCTCTCTCTCTCTCTCTCTTTCTCCCTCTCTCTCCTCTCTCTCTCTCTCTCTCTCTCTCTCTCTCTCTCTCTCTCTCTCTCTCTCTCTCTCTCTCTCTCTCTCTCTCTCTCTCTCTCTCTCTCTCTCTCTCTCTCTCTCTCTCTCTCTTTCTCCCTCTCTTTTTCTTCCCCCTCTACCTCTCCCTCCCTCCCTCCCTCCCTCCCTCTCCCTGCCGCGGCGGGCTGGCCTCCGCCGATGGGGAGGGTCGATCTCGCTCGTCTTGTTGTCGACGCCGCGGCGGCGGGCTTTGGGGACCCAGGGCGTCGGAGGTCGGCGGTCACACGCGACAGCATCGATAATCACGTTGCACCCGCGCACTGCGCACGCGTCACGCACGTCATCAGCATAAACGCGAACGCCATCGCCACCATCATCGCCGTTACCATAATTTTCATCATAACCGCCATCTCATTCACCACGCCCATGTCCATCGTCGCAACCAGAACCACAATTATCACACGTGTGGGTACATGCACCAACATACCATCATAACGGACATGTTCTTATAACATCATACGTTATGAACAATATTATAGCACTTCAAGTCTTATTATAACACTTGAAGAATCAACATAACTCCCAACGCTTATTATAGCAAGTCTTGGTCCTCTGGGACCAGCGAGTCCGCCCCCCCTGGCCTCATGCACGTGCAAAAGCTCAGCACCATGGCCACCACGTGCTCGGTCAGCCGGCGTCGCAGGAGCACGCCGGCCAGCGCGGCCACCACAATGCCAAGGCAGCGGCTGTCGGCACCGCCGAGGGACGCACTTGCCCCGGCCCGCCAGCGCCCTCGAGCACCGCGGCAGGCTCTTCGTGCCCCATCTGCCCAGGTTGGCCACGAAGAACTTCACCGCGGCCAGCAACTTCGAGGCGTCGTCGCCGCTGTGCCCGGGGAAGTACAGGAGGTTGAAGTAGTCCACAAGAACCGAGTCCAACTCCGCCGAGTCCTTCCAGTCCCAGCGGTTCTCGGAGGCCCAGGACACAGGCCTGAGTCCGCCGGAGGTAGTCCGCCAGCGCTGGCTTCGAGATCGACCTCTGCTCCAGGTAGGTGAGCCCCGGCTCCAGGAGGACCTTGGCCGCCTCCCGACGCCGCGCCGCAGTCGCCGCTCCCGCGGCAAGCCCCAGCACCCCCGCTGCCCCGGGGAGGGCTAGCGGACGCTCCAGCCCAGGCGCAGCCCCCAGCGTCGGCGCCCGCCCCCGCTTGCCGGGTTCCGCCGGCGTCAGCAGGCACACTGCAGCAGCGCCCCCCGCGCCAGGCTTGGAGTCCGGCAGAGACGAGACGTCGGGCTCGTCGACGCTCGCCCGCGCCACGGCACCATCCCCGGCGCCGGCCTCCGTGGCCACCCCAGGAGTCTCGATGAAGAGGTACCCCCGGGATGGGCGGTCGGCAGGGTTGAGCTCGCTGGACGCCCAGCGCACGTGCAGCTGCAGGCAGCAGGCCAAGGCCAGCGCGCAGAGCTCGCGCAGCACGCTGCGGAGCTGCTCCGCCGGGCCGCGCCCCTTGCCCGCGGAGAGCGCCAGGGACAGGTTGTCCACGAGCAGCGCCAGGCGGCGTCCGAAGGCGCCCCGCGAGCGGAGTGCGCGACGCAAGGAGGCGGACAGGGCGAGCCCCTCGGCGTAGTAGATGTCGTGCTTCTCCCGCCAAGGGAAAGACAGTGCGATCTTCCAGCGGGGGTCCTGCATGGACGAAGCGGGGATCTCGCCGAACTGCTTGTCCAGGTCCTTAGCCTCCTCGCCGGGCAGGGCCGCGGGCCGACGCAGGGTGGTAGCAACCCCATCGCCTTCCTGAGCGTGCGCCCTGGCGCTGATGGCGTCGTCGAAATGGGGGCGCCACCTCTCCGCGGTGCGCCCCAGGGCGGCAGCCGCGCTGCTGTCCGCCTCCCTGACGCAGACGCCCGCACCCCAGGGGGAGGCGTCGGACGCGGAGATCTCGTGGTGCCACGGAGCGGCGAGGTGCGCAGCCAGCAGGGGCAGCAGGTTCCGCACGGTGCGAAACTCCCAGCGCACCGATTCCCACAAGGGGAGAGCCCCCTCCCGCGCGGCCTGGCAGAAACGGTAGCTAGCATCGAAGATGGCGACCGACGGCCGGCGCAGCAGCATGATCCACGCGCAGTGCCCCAGCAGCACCTCCACCATCTCCCCGCGCACGGTAGGCCGCAACAGGAGCTCCTCGATGGCGTAGCGCACCCGCCAAAGCCGCTTCGGCGACACCCGCGCACTGTGCGTCGACTCGCACGGCTCCAACCCCACGAACGAGCAGTTGGTGCTGGCCCGCTGCTGCTCGTGCACGCTGAACCCGAGGCCGGCCAGCTCCGACTCCACCTTGGCAGCCACCGCGTCGACCGTAGCACGGCAAGCGCCCACCACCAGGTAGTTATCCACGTAGCCGGCGGCGCCGGGCCCGTCGCGCTTGCACAGCACGAGGCCCTCGCTGCGGCCCCGGACGTGCCGCGAGGGGGGCGCCCCCGCCCGCGCCAGCGCCGACTCGGTGACCAGCTGGCGCAGATGCATCGCCCAGCTCCAGCCCATGGGGAGGATGGTGAGCTGCGGGGTGAGCCACTCGGCACTGTCGATGGCGACTCCGTCGAGCGAGCTGATCCCCACCATGCCTGCCCTGATCCGTCCAAGCTGGAAGTGACGACGC